TATGTCCGGTTGCTGTGTTAGCAACCATGGAGGATGTCCGGTTGCTGTGTTAGCAACCATGGAGGATGTCCGGTTGCTGTGTTAATTAGCAACCATGGAGGATGTCCGGTTGCTGTGTTAGCAACCATGGAGGATGTCCGTTAAGCGGGCTAATGGACGCTCGAGCCTGTCATATTACCAGGAGTAAATAATCACAAATTATTGTTAATTGTTGTAATTTATTGTAATTTACAAATTGTAATTGTGATAAAATTATTATTGTAATTATTATCATTTTAAATTATTGTAAATATTTTAAATTATTGTAAATAATTTGTTATTATGTACTCCTGATATTACCAGGAGTACATGAATAGAGATATGCTCTATTTTAAATAGATCATCTCTGTTTATTAATAGATAATATTTTGTTCATAGAGAACCTTTATGCGTCAACTCCTGGTGTTGTATACCAAAAAAATTCGCATATAGTAAGTAAATGGGCGTGATTGAACTGTAGACAAAAAAGTAAAGAAAAACAGACAGTTTTTACGTTTTCTACGCGTTACAGATGTTAGGTATATTGATATAAACGATTAGTCAAACGTTAAACGCGTTTATTCGCGATATTACAGGTGGAAATCATTTTCAATTGGCTGCCATAACAAGCTGAAAATCTCCATAAATCAGTTCCGTTGCGAAGCTACGATGCACCCAGCCGAACCTTCATTGCAACGCACAACGTATATTTTGTCTAACTCGACCATTCCATTTTCGCAAAACACACACATAACGGACAATTTACGGACGTTTACGCTAAAGCATAGGCTTCGCGTGTGCAATTTTATGCCTCCTGCCTCTGGAAAGAGCCAACTAACCCAGCAAATAGAGAAAGAAGTCTAGCTTTAGATAATAACTTCGAAATTTCGTACAGCCTCCCTCGCTGGAAAGATAATAAAATAAAATATTTGTGCACGTAGGCCAAATATCTAGTTATTTCATCATCGCACCCATATTTCCGATTATCCGATTTACGAATACAATACTTGTGCAATCGACTGCATTCCAGACTTGCGGACGTAAAACAGCTGCAGCTCGAAACGATATAGTTTGTAATGAGAAGAATTAGAATTATTGTATTAGAATTGGTATTCTTTCGATTGCTTTTCCCATTCGCACTTCTTATTATCGCCAATACATCGTCAGTCACTAATCGCTATTATATGTTAATACATCTGTTATCTAATATATTGTTTTTCTGTTCATGATAATGATAGTGTATTTATTTATCGTATTATATTATATTTATTATTACAGGGGCGTCGTAGCCGTCAGTATTGACCTACTAAAGGTGGATATCAACCAGTGTGACAACAACGGTGGCATGTTTGCTGGCTCTCACAAGTGCAAGGTCAGCTCGACAAAGGTACGTCTCAATTTATCCTACACGCGCGCGCACACACACACACACACACTCTCTCTCTCTCTCTCTCTCTCTCTCTCTCTCTCTCTCTCTCTCTCTCTCTCTCTCTCTCTCTC